TATTTTTCTCTTAGAGAATGATAAGTCGAAAAGGCACTGTATAAACAGAAGAGAAAGAAAAAAAGAAAATGTTTGCAATTGACGCAAGAAAAGAGAAAACAGAACAATACTGAGCATGCATCATAGCCATCGACCATGACAATATGCCTATCCATTTATAAATTTATAAATTTATAAACTATAATTGATATAAAATTTTTCTTTTCCTCTTTTGCTTTTTCAATGTGGGTGTACCTCTCTATTTAGAGTTTTTAATTTATATAAAATTTTTCCTTGGCTTTTTAGGCTATTTCAGCATGGATATGCCTTTCCAATAATGATGTGGATACAACAATAACAAATTTGAATGATAATAATAATAATAATAATAATATTAATAAACCAACAATTGATTTATTATAGTGTTTAGTTTTATTGAAAACAATTTTGTGTTTTTTATGACAACGACAATGACATTAAAAACTGTCAAATGTAAATAGATTTTTTTTATTTAAATTTTTTGTTTTTTGGTCTATAATAAGAGACTATGATCTGAACGAACATCAAATGAATGAGATGTTAAACCAAAACATAAATCACAACCTATACTAGGATGGGGGTGTGAATGCCGTCTTCTGCTCACCCACACTCATGCCCTCACACATCCACGCCCCACACCCACATCCCGACCCAATATTAATGTTCTTTTCTTAGGTACTAAAAACAAAATATGTGACCATGTGGAATTTATTTCATTTAGTTTTGTAATTGTAGAGTTCCATCATCCTGATCTATTCCTTTTCCTTTGTCAATATTTTTTTTAACACATCTGGAAAATCCAGAGAAATTGACATATTTTCTTCAAAAAACATTTATTTCTTATCAAAAATTTTGATGAAAAGTGAACTGCGTAAACCAACGCAATTTAAGCGTTTTTTTTCAGACATTAAACTTTAGATTGACGCGTCTAGTTCATTAGAAATGTTCAAAAAATGTTTATAAAAGAAGAAAAATATGTCTGAATACCAGGGAGTCCACAATAGTGAATCAAAAAAAATCCAGGAAACAGTCTTACATATTATTTCCTTTGTAATTTGTAAAAGAACTTTAATTATGTAGTGAATCTGAAAGTATTCCTTGTATGAATGTTTGAGCAATCCATATAATTAAATAAGAACCTTGAACTGTTCTCAATAATTAATACAAAAAGCAGTGCGTTGAACACAACAATAATAGAAATATAAAATTTTCTTTTTGATTAATGAATGTGTGAGTACCGCACTTTTAATGCTTAGAAATAAGTTCAACAACCGAAATAACAAAAATAGATAATAGATCAAAACGAATAATTATGGTTTATGTTAAATCGACAAAGAAGGAGAAAATAAATGATAATTGAATAAATGATTGAGTATAGGATTACCACAAAATATCTATTCAAATTTGATCAAACTTCGATAGTTTCCATCAAGCTTTTGATGAGCGTGTCCACTACATTATCAGGAAACAAAGCAAAAACAAATAAAATATAGAGAGTCACTACATCGATATAGATTTAACTGAATTATTTAACAGGATAATGCTATTCGATAAAGAGAGAGAATATACTAAAAATTTAGCTGGAATACTTATATAGATGCAATAGTTCTCTATATTTTAGTTCTTTTGCTTCGTTTCTCAATGATGTAGTGGGCATGGTCATCAAAAGTTTGAAGAAACTGTCGAAATTTGATAAATTTGAATTGATATTTTATGGCAATTCTATACGCAATTATTTATTCAATTATCATTTATTTTCCCATTGTTGATCGTTTATACAGATCATTGTTATTCATTTTGATTCATTATCTATTGTCATTATTTTGGTTTTCGAACCTATCATAATGTCTATTCAACAAAGACTATATCTTAAGCAGACGAGAAACTCGCCAAATTTCTCACCATCTTGTCCTCGCCTTGCCTTGCCGCGAAGCGAGGCGACGCGATGTAACTCAACGAGTTGCGGATCTCTGATGTATACATACAAAAATGCACACGCTCCATGACTGATCTTAGTATCCGCAGATAGTAAAAACAGCATCTATATATCTGTATGTCATTTATATTTATGCTCTAATGCTCACCGTGCGATTATTTTTTCTGTTTTTTCCATCTATGTAAAAAAGAAACAATTTTTTACTTTTTTACATATACCATGCCAACACATAATTATATATATTACTTTATTCTTTCTTTTTTTATCTTAAATATAAGAAAACTGTTCAGCCATTCTATTTCTCATTTTTTTAAAGTTGATATCGTTAAAAGAAAAAGGTTATCAATAATATCGCTAATACAAATATGGAAAATACGACGACGAGTCAAAGCAATCATGATACGGGTGATAATGCATGGATGATGACATCGGCTGCATTAGTTTTACTTATGACACCAGCATTAGCTTTTTTCTATGGTGGTCTTGTTGACAGAAAAAATGTTTTAAATCAACTTTTTCTTTCATTTATTTGTATGGGTATTATCTTTGTACAATGGGTTTTATTTGGCTTTTCATTTGCTTTTGGTCCTCCAGTTAGCGCTGGTTTTGGATCATTTGGATGGGCTGTATTACGATTTGGTGAATCTGATAATAAAATTTATAGTCCAACATATCCATTATTAACGTATGCTTTATATCAAGGTACATTTGCTATAATAACACCAGCTCTTATTTCCGGTGCAATTGTTGGCCGAATGAAATTAATTCCTTATATGATATTTATTTTTATATGGACAACTGTTTGTTATGATCCAATGGCTCATTGGGTATGGGGTAGCAATGGTTGGTTAAAACATTTGGGTACACTTGATTTTGCTGGTGGAACAGTAGTACATATTTTAGCTGGTGTATCAGGTCTTGTTGCATCATTAATTCTTGGTAAACGATCTGATTATGATCCCCATAGTACTACAGCTCATAATCTTCCATTTACTATATTGGGTACATGTTTATTATGGGTAGGATGGTCTGGTTTTAATGGTGGTTCATCTAATGGAGCAAAGTAAAACAACAAAAAAGAAAACATATGTATAATGTTCATTTTTTTTCTGATTCTAGTGGTATAGCTGCTCTAGCTTTAATCAATACACATGCAGCAGCTGCTACTGGACTCGTGACATGGGTAGTGATTGATGCTATTCGTGGTCATGTATCTATTTCAGGTTCTTGTATTGGTCCAATAGTAGGTCTTGTAGCTGTTACACCAGCATGTGGATTTGTTCAACCTGGATGGGCATTGCTCATTGCTTCTATTACAACAGTTGTTGTCTATTTTCTCCTATTAAACAAACATCACATGCATTTTGATGATACGTTAGACGTTGCTATTGTTCATGGATGTGGTACACGAGAAATTTTAATAAATTGTTTTCAAATAAGGTTTGTTTTCTGTTTTTATGTAGGAGGTATATTAGGTGCATTTTTGACTGGCTTGTTTCCTGAAAAATCGGTCAACTTAAAAGACGGCGCTGATGGTGCCTTTTATGGACGACCAATTCAACTATGGTATCAAATTGCTGGTATTCTTACAGCAATTGGTAAGTTAAACAATATTTGAATTGGAAGTCTAATCATGATGCTGTTATTAGGTTTTGCTGCTGCATGTACAGCTGGTATTCTTTTACCTTTGGATTGGATTATGGGAATTCGTTTGGCAAAAGAAGATGAACTTGATGGACTTGATCTAACAGGTATAATAAAATTTTTGAAGACAGAATACAAAAGAAAATGTATTATATTTTAGAGCATGGTGAAAATTGGCAAGTGACCGCATCACGAGCTGTTAATGATCTTGTGAAAAAAGTTCTAGAAGAACAAGGTGTTACGAAAGAAGAAGCTGAAGATAATGGAACTTTGGAATTACATTACAATCCAAAAAATCCAAATAAAAAAGCATTTAAAATTCCTCTCGTAAAACGAATAAAGCCAAGCGATTCTCAAATTGACAATGATTCAGTAAATAACAATCATTTCGAACACAATCTTAACGAGAAGAAATTTGATGATGATGAAATTGATAAACAACCAAATTAATGCACATATTATTCGCTTTTGAATACATTTGCAATATTCTTATATAAACTATTGCAGTCAATATTTTTTTTTTTTCATTTCATATCAAAAATATCGCGAGAGAAAAAGTATATGAATAAAGATTCTAAGTGCTTGCATATCATTACAAAGCATTATTTTTTCAATAGAAATTTTCTTTTTTTTTTGAAATCATCTTCGAAACACAACAATGAATCTTTAATGAAAGTCATACATGCTACAGCTATTTTCAAAAAAAAACTTTTACAAAATTAAATTTTTTATTTAATGGTTTTCTTCTCGTTAAAAAGCCATTATAAAATTCATTTTTCCAAGGATTCATATGGCTTTTCACTCTTTTGCAGCTTCTATCTACTGCAGTTATTCCTATACAACAATGAATGCACTTTTTGTAACATTCCGATAAATATAAATTGTGAATGTCATCATTCCATTACCGTTTACCAATGAAATCATCTAAGAATAAATTCAATGGGATAAATCTTCCTGTTTCACATGTCATCTTCATCCATACATGTTAGTGTGTTTGACTGAATTACATGCCTGGAAATTAAGGCTTATGGAAAGTCAATTAGGAATCATTCTTCTGTCAAACATGCGATCACTTAACGTCGCCCAATTGTCATTCGTCTAATCGTCGCTTTCCTCTTGAGACAACTTCGAGCAACAACAGTAGCGTATGGATCACACAAACTTCGATTCTATTCACTATCTTTTCTTCATTGGTCTGAGTCAATAATGTATAACTAATGAGGTGTTTATTGAATACAGATATAAAGTTTCCAGGCTGTCAATGAGAGGAAAGTATGACAAATAGAAGGTGTCATAACATAACCTTCTCGCACAAACTGCATAATGTCGATGAATGTTGAGCGCTCATTTAGTGTTACACACAGAATAATTTCTTAACATAGACCAAACATTACACTGAACGTAAGAAATCAAACACTTTCTCTGTATTCAATGAACAAAATAGAGAGAAAATAATTAAAGATTCAACAAGACAAAATATACAGGTAGCTGATGCACATATCAAATAGGATATTAGTGAAAAACAATATCAAATGATTTGCGCAGAAGAAGACATTTTGATCATTTCAATTCAAAACACCATAATGAAATTTCGATTCTCTCTCTTTCTTTAAATGTATCTTCATCGTTGTAATAATAGAAAATGAAAACTTCCAAGCGACCAATGCTTCTTCTTTATTGATTGCTTATCTTATGGATCAATGTATATATGACATGTGATACACAACAGATGCTTTTTATTTTGATTCATTGTATTCTCTTTTAATGACAACAATCGTCTAGTATGAACGATGAAGATATATAAGTAATGCTAGAAACATTCTTATGAGATTTTGATTGATGGTTTTTATTAATTGTGTTTCTAACATGCAATACAAACAGCAAAATGAATATTGAACTTCGCAATAAAATTTTGTCTCTGCTCAAGAGTTTAGTTCAATTAATTTATGATATTTGTCTTTTAAAATATTTTTGGTAAAAAAATAATGTTTTGTCGCAAGAAATCTAATTAAAAAAAACTTATCTTCTAGACTACAACACAATACCTGAAACTCATATTTTCATTTAATTCACAGTTTTTAATTTGTGCTTTTTTCCAAAAACAATATTTCTTGTAATGAAAATTTTAAATCGATTATTTCTTTTATCGATTGAATTTCATTGAAGAATATGTGATAATAAAGAATTTCAAAATCTAAGCTTTAACGATCTATTCTACTTTCAAAAACGACATCATGTTTTCTTTTATTAAACGAATACT